CCTGGCGTGAATAGTGGGCCGCCCCGTCCGGCTGGCATAGGGTTCTATATAGGGCATTTTCCATGATTTTTTCTGCTTTTTTTCTTCACTACTGGATCACGTATTATATGAGCTCCATAACTCATTATTCTTGAAAGCGGCTCAGCCTTTAAAGGCTAAGCCAAAGCAGTCATGGCAGCCAGGTGGGCGGCATCCTCTTCACAAGCGGGTAGATTTTTGAGCTGCGAAATTAGTACATCCTCCACCCTTGTCGACAAAACTACGGTATCTAAGGAGGGCGTAGAAACATCAAATGAACGCGGGCGCTTTAAGTGCTTATTCTCCACGACCGCTCTTCTCAAGCTAGGTCGCATTCATAGTTCTCAAAGCGTAGAACTCGAGAACGCGTGGAACGCACGATTAAAGCCTTGATGAGAGCCGATTGACCCTAATGATTCGATCGCTCTTTGAAAAAGCTGTATTCACACCTTGCAATGCTGTAGAATTGGAAAATCAACAAAAGGAAGCAGTCGGTCTGGAGACCGGCGAATCTGAGAGTGCGCGAAAAGTTTAGGTATGGATTGATTGGCCTCCAGCTCTTCCATTCGCGCCGATTTTGCAGTTGGGCGAAATCCAGATCGATACGTACGCTCACTATCTTCGCCATGTTCATACATGATGGAGAAATGCAGAGCCGTGAATGTGCAGATGCGGATTTTGCAGAATTGCGGAATTGGGAGAAGTGCAGTATCTGCAGAAGAAAGAGAAGTATATCTATCGGTTCGGAAAACCGCGGAACTGGGAGAAATGCAGAAATGTCAAACCTACAGAAATGCCGAAATTTCTGCATTTCTCCCGCTGGTGGGCCAAGCGATCAATCCCTATCAAGCCGTTGTTCGTCATTTCGGCATTTCTGCAAATTCCGCATTTCTGCATTTCTCCCAATTCCGCGGCTTTTTTTCAAATCGATACATATACCTTGTTCTGTCCACAGTTTCGTCATTTCTTCAAACTTGTCAAGTATGAATGCGGCCTTACGTTTTGGCGGTTTCTGCAGCGTCTCAAAACATATATGCGGTCTATTGGGCGTCATCAATCGATTTCTCACTTATTCCCATCTAATCCCACTCGCTTCTACCCAATTTCCACTTCCGCGGGTTCTTTACTAAAAGAGCACGAACGCGTCTCACTTTCGTATTTGGGCCAACAAGTGCACATGGGCAATTCATATCGATTAAATGGGTGCAGGATCAACAGACTTTTCTTGTGTACACGACATTAAGTTAAGCTGAAAGCAGTCTCCGCAAACTAATCTGTGAACCAAGATAGCAGAATGATTTATTCGTTGCCTAGGCCACCTTATTTCGCTGCCTTCTTGAATATTCTTCATTCGTAAGATGCCCCCATAGAACAACCATAGAGCCGCAACGTGACTCAAAGTACATGCATAGTGCAAAACCCATTGTCGTCTGTCCCGGTGTGGCAATTATTGTGCCGCCACCCTCTCTCCTCCCTCATCGTTCATGTTTCGTAATTATTTGAAAACTTTCTTTGAATATCGATCAATATAATCCTTTAAGTACCTTGTACTGGATCAATGCCACTTGACTAGTAGACGGATGAACCACCTTTTGATAGAAAACAGACGTCATCGACGTATTTAAGATTAAGTGCTATTGACCCTGCATAACATATAAATGACGGCATCCTACGACAAAAAGCAGCCCCAGGCCATTTCTTCTGTTTTCTTTATTTTTTATTCTTTTCAGCACTAACGTACTTGAGGGCCTAGTACCACTCTGCGGCAAAAATTCCTCAATATTACAAGGGCTTACGAAGGAATAGTTTCAAATTCCTGTAGAAATTTTAATGGAGACTGTGACGCGGCCATTAAAACTTTTGGTCCTGGTGCGAAAGGCGGGAGACCTATACAACTCGTCCTTCCAGGCGCGGCGTCGCTCACCACGCTCCGCGCGGCATTTTGCGATTGTCTTGTCACATATCCTTACATGGGTTACAGAGGCAGGGTCAGTTCTCGATTTTTTTTTCTGCGCCTGAGATGATCACAGGGTATTAGCACCGAAGAACTGGAACGGTGCTTTTCATTCAAATAAATCTCTTCATTTGCGTTATTTGAAAAGATACAACCTATGTGTACGTTTAGCTGGAACTGATACTTAGGATTTATAACGAGATTATTTTTTCCGTAGATCAAGGGTTTCTCTAATTTCCCTCGCACATTCGATCTATCGAGTAGGGTCAGGGCGCGAGCTAGTTCCCGTCGTATATGTGACTGGTCTGTAGTTCTCTTCTTTTTTTTCTTGTATCGGATAATTGTTTCCACTGTGAATGAAGCTCTAGTTGATTTTGGAATTTTTTTTAAGATGGGACACCGTCTCTATTGGACCAGTTCAACGTACGATGATTCACTGCCTAGTGAATTCATCACAGGTCGATCTTGTCATTGCCTTTACAAGCCAGATCCACCACGAAGTCTTGACAACTCGGATTGCGAGTCGTCGTCCGAATGTGCTCCCCGATCTCCAGCTTCATCACGTCGGAATATTGTACGGCACGATTATCATTCACTGAAGCTACTTGGCACAGGTACTGTTTGGTTTTCTAACTCTGCTTATTTCACTAGAAAAGCTGAATGATCAAAGCTTTTGGGATTGTTGCTTACTGTACGTTTTTTTCACATGACGGCGACACCCCCCCCCGCCCCCTCCCCCCAAGGCTGCGTTCATACTTTGCGTCAGCGTTCCAAGCGTTTGGGTAGTTTTGAACTTTCAGAGGGCAGTCGCTGAAAATGCTTTGGTGTATGCTGGTGTGCGCTAGATCGAAATCTACATTTTCCTAGCCGCTCAAAACGCTGACGCAACGTATGAACGCACTCTTACGCTTGTTCATACTTTGCGCTAGGAGAATCATCAGGAAATTGAGAATATGTGGAAAAGAAAGCGTACATTTCGATCTATAGAGTCGGAGAATTGAAAGATGATAAGTTACACACCCACTGGTCACAATCCAGGCAGTTTCTATATCAAACGATGTGAATTAAGTCATTTTTGCAAATTCTCCTCTTTAGGCCGCGTTCATAGCTTGCGTTCGTGAA